TTAGCCTTTAAAACCAAAAAAAAAAAAAATGCGACAACATATTAAAATGGAAGAAGCAAAAGTAACCTAACGTTGTGGAGGATATAGTAAAAGAATTATTAGTAAAAATGAATTTTGCACAAATATTGCTCAGGAGAATTTGGTGTAAACATCTTGCGGTAATTTAAGTAGAAATACAAATTAGAGAAACATTGTGAACTAAAGCTAGAAAACTAACATTGCAAAGGAGCAAAATATTCCCACCATAATAGCCATGATACAATACCCAGACAAACTTTCTTTAATATTCCAGAAGTGCACACAGCTGCTACCTTTTGGTGAATTTATCTTACATTGACACAGAAAAAGGTAGCAGATAGAATCTGTAAGATTCATTTCTCACTGGCGCAAGACAATAAAAATCATCTAGTTCCATTTAACATGTCTCGTTCGGAATAACTAAAATTCACCTGCCAGGAACTACAACTCTAGTAATTTTCCAAAATCCAAAATATACAAATATACATACAGATATATAAAAATAGTCACTTGTGCTATTTTTGGACTCCTACATACATCAGCAACAAGATAAATGTCAAAGAGTAAAATACATCAGGTTTAAACTCAAAGAATGAACAGCTTGAATGATTGAAGGTCCCGTTACCCACCAGTAATGTGCATTGGTCCAGCACACTTTTCTGCCTTTTTAAAAAACCGATCTGCTATAAGATGCCGGTTAACTGTAGTATTGGCTTTTTCCTCCTCTCCAGAATGATCGGATCGGCTGAATTATTTAAAGCTCTTCTTTAAATGCCAGAGAAGAATGATTCTTTAGTGGCTTTCAGTTGGTCTCCTTCTTTACTAAATTAACCAGTCTCTAAAGACGAGCGAGCGTCCCCATACTCATTGGATGGTATGTTCAGTGGAGTTTTGTTGTGAGGTCTTTTTCTTCATTAGCATCTCTGCATCTGAGCGCACTTCTGTTTCCATGATTCAGGCGGTTCACAACATAATATTTGTTAAAATAGTCAAAGTATTCTTGCAGTGGTGAACCAGCTGGTGGAGGAGATTCTTTACCCTTCATTGGCAGCTCAGAGTCAGACATTTGAGGTTGTCCTCTTCCCTTGAACTGCGGCAAGGCTTCTCATCTCGGCAGCTTTAATGGAACTTCCACGGCCTGTTGACAGTGACCTGAGTTCTTGATCCATTGCATGGAAATCATATCTAGAATTATCGTAATCTTCAAAGGAAATGGTCATGCTAAGACGGTTTGTATGTCCATAGTAGTATGATTCTCTTCATCCAACAGGACTCTATATTGATGACCCGTCTTGTCAGTGCTTTTAGCCACTTGTAATTATGAGCACATGCTTGTCTTAAGAACTCAATGATTTAAGTGCTGAAATTAATTTTTATCCATAGTCGCATGAAATAATCTATGCGACATGTATTTTACACTTCACATATTTACCTGAAATGATATTTACCACTTCAAAATGCCACCATGGAGCTTCTTGAATTTGAAGACAAGCATTTGCAAGTCGGCATTACTCAACAGAATGTGCATAGCTCTTCTTCGAAAAATATAGTAGCTGATAGTTTAGTTAATTCTTTGACCAGACATCCTAAAATAATATATATGGCATCATTGTCCGAGTGAGATCTGTCACCAGAGATAAAGGAATGAACTGTGTCTCCTACATATACCCAACTGCAACCAGCAGTTTTCTTGGCTTCTCTTCCTCTCATCATTTTCATTACCCTTCCCATCTCATTCCATTTCCCCTCCGAGGCATAGATCCCAGCCAACTGCGTATATCTAGAACCATTCCCTCCTTCAATTTGCAATAGCTTATCCTCTGCAGCTTTAGCAAGTTCAGCATTTCTGTTCATTTTGCAAGCATTTAGAAATGCACCCAGAATTACAGCATCTGGTTCTATAGGCAACTTTTCCATTAAGCTTACTGCCTTCTCAAGTTGATTTGCCCTTCCATACAAGTCGATCATACTTGCATAGTGATCAGTTCCAGGTGATATATTGTAATCTTTGGTCATGGAAAAGAAATACTGTTCTCCCATTTTCACTAATCCACGATGCCGGCAAACTGATAGAAGGGCAAGGAAAGTGACTGCATCAGGTTGGAAACCTCGCTCTGTCATCTGACTGAAAAGCCGAATAGCTTCATTTTCATACCCATGGAGAGCATAACCAGCTATCATACTATTGTAAAGGATAGAATCTATATCAATGGCGAAGTGGAAAATCCTCTGTGCATATGTGACATTTCCACATTTCGAGTACATATCAACCAATGAATTTGCCAACTTAGCATCCATTGCAGTGCCAGTTCTCAGTATAGAGGCATGTATTTGCTGCCCGTAATTAAAGGTCGCATGTACGGCGCATGCACCAAGCAGGTTTATAAAAATCAGTTCATCAGGAACGGTTGTTTCCTGTGTCATTAACTCTCTGAAAAGCTGAAAAGCATTTTCACATTGATGCGCTTTCACGTATCCAGATATCATAGTAGTCCGTACAACATAATTCTTATCAGGCAGTGAGTCAAAAAGCCTTCTTGCTTCTAACATATTACCCATTCCTGAATATTCTACAATTAATGGTGTGACGGCAAATGGGTTCTCTTTCTGAGTAGTTGTACAAACAGAAGATGCATAATTCAGGAGACCACACTTACAATAAAGATTAACGAAACTACAGCTAAGGAATGGATTCAAACTCATCCCTTCCTTCAAAATCCAAGCATGAATCTCCTTTCCAAGTTTCAAATTCTTCACGCCACAACAAGCACTTATAACGCTAGAAAAACTGTGTTCATTCCATACGAATCCCTCCTCCATCATGCTCCTGAACAACTGGATGGCCTCCTCTTCATACCCATTTTGGGCAAAACCCGAAATCATTGTGTTCCAAGAAACTTCATCATTCAACTGCGGCCTACTCGAAAACACATCCCGGGCCATTTCCACCTCACCCTCCCTAAAACAAGCAGCCACCATAGCGTTCTTGGAAACCGTGTCAACAGCCTTAACATCAGATCCATCAAAGACCCTCCAAGCATCTCTGAAACACCCGCATTTCGAATACATAACAATCAAAGAACTCAGTGCATACCTACTTAAACTATTCCCACTCTTCAACATATATGAATGCAATTGCCTACCATATGACAAAAGACTCAAGTTTGTTACTAAACCAAGCATGGCAGTCAAGGCATATTCAGATACTTTCTCAACGCATTGCATTTCGGCAAATAATCGAACTGCTTGATCCTGAAATCCTTCACAATTGACATAACCAGACAGCATTGTGTTGTACGTGACATAATCCTTTAGGGGAGCAGCATAAAAAAGTGTTCTCGCTTGAGCAAAGTTTCGAGCTTTAACGTAAGTGTTTATAATAGCATTCCAGGTGAAAACGTTTCTTTCAGGCATTTCATCGAACACTTTTTGGACATGTTGAATGAGAGAATGCTTAGAGTATACGTGAATAAGGTGGTTGGCGTCAATGATTCGTGGGGTTAGACCGGATTTGATGATATGGGTTTGAAACTTGGCGCAGTCTAACAGTGATTTCATTGGTGACCTTATGAGTGTTGTTAGTTTGTTATAACTGGCTGGAGCTTTGGTTTAGCGAAATAGAGCTCGCCAACCCATTTAAAAGCCACTAGGCCTAATATGATATGATATACTCCCTCTGTCTCGTATGTATTAGACGGGTGGTTACTAAAAATAATTGTCTTAAATTATTTATCATTTTACAAGTTCAAGAAAAAATTAATTTTTTTTCCTTTTTTACCTTTAATAATAATTATTCTTGAAAATGGAGATAATACATAATTAGAATAAATATTCAGATTTTATCTTAAGACATTAATAAGGGTAAAATAGTCTAATCTCTTTCCTAATTAATATTTCTTAAGGGGCGTGTAAAAGAGAAACACGACAGATAATTTGAGACAGAGGGATTATCATATATGGGCTACTCATAAGCTTTTGTTACAAATAATTGTTTTTCCCTTCACAATAATAATCTTTTCCGAATATACATATTGTAATAATGTTTGCCTATTATTACAATTTACATATCTTGCCTATATGCACATTGTATTGGTAGTGAAAAAGAGCTACACGTGGAATATTAGAATGCTGACATGGCATAACACGTAAGAGCAATAATATAGCAACACGTGGCAGTCTTATTTGATAGAATAAGAAAAGGCACGGAGGGAAACACCCACGAGATAGTACCGAGCCTAACAGCTGGCAAAGACTGAAACAAGGCAGGAAAAATGGAAGATTCAAACCTTCAATTAATGAGGAGGGGAATCAGAATTGTTGCAGAATCTCGTGGACAGTTACAATTATCAATTGTAACAGATCATTAATACCATTAAAGCTCGTAATGATTTAGCCATAAATGGAAAGAAACGTTATATGTGTAAACCTCTATATAAGAGGAGAGAATTTCACTTGTAAGGACATCGGAGACAATATTAGAATATATTCACTTTATTTTTCTGCTTTTCTCAAAATTCTCTATATTAACTTTGCAATCAATTATTTCCTTATTTATTCTTGATATTTTCCTTTGATACCATTGAGAAAGTGAGGCAAAACTTGGTTATCAGAAGCCGTTTCCTTCTAAAATTAATCTTTGATTGAAAGATATATTTTTGATTAAACACACATCAGATCGTATATATGGCAATTGAATTTTGAATAGGATGGTAAACTTTAGAAATAAAAGACTAATCACTCATTATCATTATATCATATGGAAGTTGAAATTCGTACTACCGAACGATCTTCAGCTAAAGACTTGTTAATATATTCTTGAGTTCTATATTCTTTAAATGTGAAAATATTATTAGTCCTGCTTGGCTCTAACATTGTCAAACGACCCTTCAATAAGCAAAAAGCAACACACATTAAAATGGAAGAGGCAATGGAGGATACAGTAGAAGAAAAAATGAATTTTGTACAAATATTGCTCGAAAGAATTTGGTATAAACATCTTGCTGTAATTTAAACAGAAATAAGAACATTCTGCACTAAAAATACAAAACTAAAGGAGCACAATATTCCCACCACAATAGCCATGATTCAATAACCAGGCAAACTTTCTTTACTACTCTACAAGTGCACACAGCTGATACTTTTTGATGAATATACAAACATTAACAGAGAAAAAAAGTAGTACATAGAATCTGTAAGACACATTTTTACTGAAACTCATCTAGTTCCATTTTACATGTCTCATTTACAATAACTAACATTCTCCTGCAAGGCATTAGGCACTACAGCTCCAGATTTCTGCATACTGCAAGCAACCTTATAAGGACAAACTCTTTTTTCTGATATTTATGCTGCTACTTTTGGAAGTCTCATGCCGAAGCCATGCTTTGCTTTCTCAACACTGAAAATGAAGTATTTAGTCAGTATATCGTGAAATCATATTATAATTCAAAATGTTTTATAATTATGAGAAACGGCTAACATCATAACAATATGCGTGCACTGCTCTTTGAAAATGGAAACAGCAAGAGTAGAACTGGGAATAATCAAGGGCTTAGTGACATTAGGGAAGTGGTATTAGAAAAAGAACATCCAAGCTTCATGCTAACGGTAAATACTTACCACACCGGGTGTTTACACCAAACTATATTAACTCACTATAGTTAATTAATTTAATCAGATGAGAATGCATATAATTTACCGTGGTTAAATGATTGAAGTCCATATGCAAGTCATATGTCATGTATCTATTGGTTTGGTGTAAACACCCGGTGCGGGTAAGTTTTTACCCATGCTAACTTCAAATCATTTTCTATGGCACTAGTGAAACTCCGGAATAACAGAAACCTATCCCCTTTTGTTCTTGGCAACCTACCAGCCTTGAACTCTTGACTTAGTGGCATGAAGAGAACTCTATCGACCACTATGACCATGAATGGCCGGTGAGTCAGCCTATCTTTTGAATGTCAGGAAAAGTTTAGCCATTTCATGGAGAAGTCCTAAGCATGTGCTATGATAGTGAAGGATGAACTGCTAAGCTTTGATTGCTTGCAAAAGCCTCATTCATCAAGTATGAAAGGTCGAAGCAAGAATAAGGAGCAAAGACAAAGATTACAAGTGATAATAGCTGTATTTTAAGCCAGCAGTGTATCAGGAGGTTGTTATAGGTCTAGAATAAAAGAGTGTTTCTGCTCATTTATCTTAATCATCCACCCCAACTGTAGGGTGAATGGAAGGAGGTGACTGAGCATTTTTGTGTTGCCAATGAATTCAGTGTATGATAGCTAACATAAAGTAGGGTAGGGGTCATTCAACCAACTGAAAAAGCAACATGAGCAAATTTAATTGATCAAGAGAAGAATCTATTGAAAAATTAAAGCCATCATAGAATTGATACTCACGTCGGAGCAAGTTTGCCCAGGCTCTCTAACTCTTCACCAGAGTCCTCATCAAGAACTCTGCCAGAAATTTCAATAATATAAGATCTGTCTCTCTCGGCTGGGAGACCTCTACTCGAAAGTAATTTCAGATCCTTTGGGTGGAGCTCTCTCCCATTCACAAATACTCCAGTATTTCCACCAGAACATTTCTCAGGCATGGGATAATTGAATTCTTCAATAAATGGCTGCAAGAAGAATAGTTATAGTATAGGAAAGCATAACAAAAGTAGTAGAACACAGGCTACAAGTATCTACTGGAAACAGTAAACCTTACAGGGATAATGCCCAGACAAGGACCACCAGTCACTCCCCAGAATCCAGCTCGAAAATCATACCTGGTATAGGAAATTAAGGCAAGAAAGCAATATACTTATAAATGTGATTTTAGGACAAATAAAAATGTGGTACAGGACCAGGTAAAGTGAATCTTTGCAGTTGAATAAATGTGGACCAATTGACATAACTGCACCATAAAAAATAGGAACCATCTTACAAATTTAAGTATAAAAACTACCCCTCATGTACACTTTCAAATAATCAATACTGCATTAGAGCTCTTTCTCAGATATTCAGTATCTTTTTCTCAGTATCTCAGTAAATAACAGTGCTATATGCATGTTGAAATATTGCTTCCATGAGGTTCCACGCTTGCCCATTGTAACCTTGCAACTTCTGTATGATCATACTTATTGGTGAATTTTATGTTGCAAATCCGTTAATGAAATTCTACAAAGTTAATCGATTAAGAGCCCGTTTGGATTGGCTTATTTTAAGTGCTTTTAAGTATTTGTAGTGTTTGGATAAAGTAAAAAAGTGTTTTTAAGCACTTGTTTATAAGCCAAAATGACAAAAATAAGCCAAAAGCCAAAAGCTAGAATTCCTAACTTATGGCTTTTGGCTTAAAAGTCACTTAAAACAAGCCCATCCAAACGGGCTCTAAATAGGAAAAGCATAATCTCGTTTGAATTTTCACCTAGCAAACAAGAATTATATAGAGCTTTAATTAACACCTGCACCCAAAATATAAAACAAATAAACAAACCGAGATATACAAAATAGTCACTTATGTTATTTTTGGCCTCCTACGATACACATCAGCAACAAGATAAACGCCAGAGTAAAAGATATCAGGTTTAAACTCAAAGAATGAACAGGTTGAAATGATTGAATGTCCCAATACTTACCAGTAATGTCCAGGTTGTATTCGTCCAGCACGCTTTTCTGCCTTTTTAATCAGCCGATCTGGTATAAGATGCCCGTTAACTGTAGTATTGGCTTTTTCCTCCTCTGCAGAATGATCAGATCGGCTGAATTCTTTAAAGCTCTTCTTTATGATGCCAGAGAAAAATGATTCTTTAGTGGCTTTCAGTTGGCCTCCTTCTTTACTAGATCCACCAGACTCTAAAGACGAGCCAGTGTTACCATACTCATTGGATGGTATGTCCATCTCAGTTGCTACAGCTGTATCTCTCATGGAGTTTTGCTCTGAAGTAGTCTTTTCCTGCATCAGCTTCTCTGCATCAGAGCGCACACTTCTGTTTCCATGATCCAGGCGGTTGGCAACATGAAATTTGTTAGAATAGTCAAAGTATTCTTGCAGTGGTGAACCAGCTGGTGGTGGAGATTCTTTACCCTTCATTGGCAGCACAAAGTCAGACTTTTCCATTGTTGCCGCAGAGTTAATGAGGTTGTCCTCTTCTCTTGAACTGCGGGAAGATGTAGAACCAAGGCTTCTCATCTCGGCAGATTTAATGGAACTTCCACGGCCTGTTGACAGTGACCTGAGTTCTTGATCCATTGCATGGAAATCATATCTAGAAGTATCGTAATCTTCAGAAGAGAAGGTCATGCTAGGACGGTTTGTATGTGCATTGGAGTATGGATTCCCTTCATTCAACATGACTCTATGCTGATGATCCATCTTGTCAGTGCTTTTATCCACTCGTTCTTCAATAGAAATAGCAAGTCTATTGTCTAAAACTGCAATAACCATAACTGTAGAACATGCCCCACATTTCATTTTTCGCCTTTTACCTCCACGAAAAACTTCCTTAGGCAATTGCAGCAACTCAAAACAATTGTAGCACGTCAAAAATGGGGCTCCGCCAGCCACAGGGCGGCATTTTTGTCCACTAGGCTGCACCCTGGGAGGATGTTGACGAGCATAACCACCCGCTGCAGAGTTCATATCACCAGAATGAGTCATTTGTGATAGAGGATTTTGCGGCTTTGATGGAAGATTATTGGCATGTCGAGAATTATAATCTTGATTACCAAATGCACCACTATTTTGATGACGGTAGAACATTGGTTTCTGGGGAATGTCAGAGAACCTTTTATCACCAAAACCAGTGGGTGGACCTCGACTACGGATTTGATTTACATTGCAGCAATGAAAACAACTGCAAGATGGATGATGAGGAATAGTCTGAGGCTGGTAAGGTCGAAAAGGATCCGTAGGTGGGATTTCATTGTCCATTGACCGCCCAGGAAAATGGCCATGAGATGGCTGCAATTGAAATGGATCCGGAGCTTGGTATGGATCTCCACTAAACAACTGGGACCTGGGAGGACCTCCATATCCCTGGATATGGTCTCTAGGAGGATAAAATCCACCACCGGCTCTATTCATAAAAGGCGAGGGTGCATTGTAGTGGTTCAGATAGGGAAGTCTTTCACCAGATACAGGATTTTGTGCCGAAGCTCTATTCATGATCCTTGTAGAGCTTTGAGGAAACAGATCATAGGGATTTCCATGACGAGCCATCCTACTTTCAAGTGGGACTCTTTCGTTAGGCTTCTCAGGCACACCACCAAACCGATTGAGCTGTTCTTTTAGCTCATCAAACTTTCTCAAAAGCTCTGCGCACTCATCAACGGGAAGATCAACCTGATTGAACCCATCCACATCCTTCCTATACAACCTCTTATCATTATCATAATTTGAACCTGACCAGTAGCCAGAAGGACCCTCTTCTGAGTTAAAGGAGGACGCATACTTCATACCTTCAAGATCAACTCTTCTAGCCCTGGGCAACACCTCTGCCTCAGAATTCTCCTTACTTCTCCAATCTGGAACTCGGCCTGCTCTTCGTGTTTCAATTTCTTTTCCATGCTGGGAGTCAAAATGTTCAAATTCTTTACCTATATTTTCTTGAATTTGTTCATCCTGATCGATCCCATCCACATCGTTCCTGTACAACTCTTCTGAGTTAATGGAGGATGAATTCCTCACACCTTGAAGATTAACTCTTCTAACCCTGGGCAAAACCTCAGCCGCACTTCTCTCCCTACTTCTCCAATATGGAACTCGGCCTGGTCTTTGAGTTTCAATGTTTTTTCCATTCCGAGAGTCAAAAGCAAACTCATTGGCCATATTTTCTTGACCTTGTTCATCAATGTTAGTCTTATACATCACCCTCTCATCCTCATTAGGCCACTTATCAGCAACATTCCTCAAACTAGTCCCGTAAGTTTCAGGTGCATCGCGCAAAAGCCTCCTCCTCTCCCTTGTGCTGGAAGAACCAGCAATTGACTTGACATCGTACCCCGAACCATCACCTATATTCATAAGTTTCTTCTCTGAAAGATCAAAATTCTCCACAATTCCTCCCACAGTTTCTTCTTCAGACTTCTCAGCAAATTCCTCTAACTCCCCATTTTTATTTTTGGCTGTAACTTTAATAGGGAAGGAAAAGAAAAAAGACAATCTTAGAAGACTTCTACAATAGCAAGACCCAGAAAAACCCACAAGTTCAAACAAATCAATCTGACCATATACAAAAGGGGGGACCAGTCAAAGATAATGCAAAGCACAGAACTTGAAGAACAAGTCCAAATTCAAGAATCGTTTTTTTAACCCTTTATTCTAGGAAATTACCTAAAGCAGAAAACAACAAAGAATGCAAAGAAAGGAAGAGTAAAGCGTACCTCGTAAAACAGCACCACAACCACCACACTGGTAAACAGAATAATCAGTGAGCTCGGGAAGTAAATTTTCACACTTTGGGCAACGAACCAAACGAACCTTTGCTGGTTCAGACATTTTAGGATGTTTTTCAAACAATATTGATAAACCCAACAAGGAAAATCATACCAAGCAAACACCTTTGGCCTATTTCAAAAAAGTATATATGCTCTTTAGCTCTCACCAAGGTTCAGACATTTCATGAGGTCCTTCTTAAACAATCTTGAAAACCCCAACAAGTAAAATAATTACTACCAAACTTTTCAATGTTAGTTAGCTGTCATCAATGCCTTTGTACAAGAATGCATCTGAAGAAAAGAATGATAAAGGGGGTTATTTTTGCATAAAATTGAACCAGAGAATCTATAGTAGAAAAAATGTAAATTGATAGAAGCTGAAAAGAAAGTAAAAATCTAGTAGGTATGTCGCAGACTGCTTTCTCAGTTCTTTGTTTCACATTTGGGAGAGGGCCGAGTGTACGGACTCTGAGGACTAGAAAATGCTTCTTATTTTCAATTTTATTTTTGTGATTCATAAGAAGAAATGGTGTTCTTTGGAAATTAACTAAAAGCAGAATTAAAGTCAATATAGAACTTCTGAATAAAAATTGGAACGGTGACTTTGCAAAATTTCACCAAGTCAATAATACTTGCATTATTAGTTTTCTTTTATGAATGGACCAAAAGTTTTGTTTACTGTCAAGTGGATTTTCTTTTTAAAAAAAATAATATAGGTGGATAGTAATATACTGCAATATATATCTAGAATCTTGTTCATTTTTAAGTTTCTTCCCAGGAATAAGAGGGTGTTTGGCTAAGTTTATAAGCTAGTCAAACTAGCTTATAAGCATTTTTCAGCTTATTTACGCGTTTGGTAAAGTTAAAATTGCTTATAAGTCAAAAATAAGCCACAGGTTATGAATTTTTAGCTTATAAGCACTTTAAATTTGATCAAGATTTTTACTATTTTATCTTTAAAACATTCCTTTTTAGAATAAAACTCCTACATCGATACTCACAGTCCTAACAATTTTTTTCAGCCTAAACGCCCCCTCACCCCCCCCCCCCTCTTTCAAGACTGCAATTCTCATTGACTATTTAAGATAAGCAAATTCTCTATTTCTTTGCATATTTATATCTATGTGATTGCGTATTAATCATTATACTGTATGTAATAAATGAGGACATATCAAATTTTTGGTGTATTATTTTCTTAGTGTTGTGGTGATGAAGACAGTGTTTGTTTCTCTTCAAATATTTTGTCCTATTTATATTTTTTCTGAGAAACTTTTGTCAATTTATTAATTATCATAACTTATGATTATATGCGTATCATAAAATAAATTATATTTATCATAAAAGTTATCTTATGTAAGCACACTTGTATTTAAAATAAAATGACAAATAGAATATTTTGTATTTGAGTCGATCTGGAATCTAAAATTTCAAAGAAATTACGCCCTTATAAGTGTAAATAGTTCTAAGGTTATTTAAGTCATTTTAACATAAAAAGAGCTTATCAACACTTTTTAATCAAATTCTGCAGCAATTTATCATCAATTTCAGCACTTGTACCCAAACATGTAACTGCTTATTTATTAAATCAGTTTCAGCACTTAAAAGTGCTTTTCAGCACTTAATGGTTATCAGCTACTTCAAATCAGCTAATCCAAACGGGCTCTAAGTCTAGTATTGAAAATGTTTTTGCTGTTATATAATTAAGGGATAATGTTTCTTCCAGCTATGAAATTTGTGCCGACGTGCACACCCTAACACGGGCAGCAATCTTCTCCAAGTTTATAATAATCGTGAGTGATAATACATTTATTCATCTCCATTTACAATCACTCAAGCAGATTTTTCATATAGAATATAATTTTAAAACATAAAATTGGAGAAAAACATGCATTAATTTCAAAAGATTTTAAATTTTATTCACACCAAAATGATTAAAATATACCATTCGGAACGGGTTATCTACTTTTCTTCATGTATGAATCTGTAATTAACATTTAGTGGATCTAACTAAGTAAATAGTTTTTGTGTTGTTAGAAAAATAACTTATATTCTTTCAAAAAAAATCAAGTATAAAGGTGAAAAAATACGTCCCTGTCCTAACATGGCTGTCTTTGTATGACTTGGTAACGTACTTTCACGTGTAGTGGGGTACGAGTTAAAGAAGTAAAGTCAGAAAAACAAATAAATAAATAAATAAATACAAAGGAAAGGAAAACAAAGTTTTGGCCTTTGTAAAAAGAAAGTGAACAAGACCCTCTTTGGAACTGTTGTTAATTGTGTTGTTTTGTGCACTTCATATGACTTTGTTTGGAAATTGGGAAGAAATGAAAGCTACTGACACTTGTCAGCTTTCCTCCTTTGGAGTATTAAATTCCTCAAGTTCTATTGGCTCATCATTATGTAGTTAGACCTACCTCCCTTGTCCCTACCACACTTTCTCTAATATATCAATACGTATGTATTTTCCTTGCTACCAACTAGGGTGTATTAATTTGGACACTATCGACTAATTAATAAGGTATTAATTACATAATTACTCTCTCCCAAGGCCGACTAGACAAGCACTTGCTTTAGACCCCAAGAATTTAAGGGTCCCAAAATTACTATTTCTCTATATAATTATCACTTATTATTGATTAATTTATTTCTTTGTTTTCATATTAATGTTGATTTCTTCCGATGATTAGTATAACCAAATTAGTTTTCTGCCAATTTTATTTTACGTTTTTACTTAATTATTTTACTCTATTGTCATGTAACTATATCTAATAATCTAACTTTTCAGTTATTTTCCTCACATAAATTATACTCCCGCCGTCCAATTTATATGAAGGTGTTTGATTGGGAATAAAGTTTAAAAAAAAAATTTGAAACTTGTGATCTGAAACAAATCATAGAAACTTGTGTAGCTAGAAATCATCTCATTAAGGGTAAAGAGAAAAATTTACAGTTGAATTATTACCAAATATAGAAAGGTATTCTTTTTAGGGCAGACTAAAAAAGAGAGTGTCACACAAATTAGAACGGAGGAAGTATGTTTTCTAGGTTCTCTCGTTTTAGTTGTGATACAATCAACATTAAATTCATTCAATATTTTGCACTTTATAAAACCAAGTTCGTTTTCATTCCACGCTTGTCTAATGTTTTAAACAACGATGCTCCTTAAATATATATGTATTTATCTAAGACCTCTTATTAAGGCTTTGCTTTAGGCCTCGGATGCTATTGAGCCGCCCCTGCTCTCTCCGTTCACTTTTACTTGTCACGATCTGACTTTTCACGCCCCTTAAGAAATAATAAATTAAGTGTATATTTTACCATGATACTCATATTAATTGATGCATATTTTATTGGATTTGAGAAAATAATTTGAAATGAGAAATAAATACTGTGGGTATAACAGACTTTTTTTTTTCTCTTCTCTTGATATGCGTAAAGTTTCAAGTAAAAATGAAAATCTATTTTTAGTATACACCCAAGTAAAAGTGAATGGAGGGAGTGTATATTAAGAATCTATCTTTAAGCATTAATTAACAAAAAAGTTGACTATATTAACCTTAATTGTTCATTGGAAATACAACAAATACTCCTAGACTCTTTACTCCAAGGACAACTTTGGAAAAAAGAAGTTAACATTTTTTTTATATCTAAAAAAATCAAATATTATGGACCACAAAAAAGGGCCAAAATATCAATTAAAGTGGACAGGAGGGAGTAATAAGTTTAAATACATGTTTGATTATCATAACATAGTTATGGTATAGTTCTTATGGTTATCTTGTTAATTGATAAAAGTGATATATTTTTAAATTTATAGAATATTGGTTATCAAAAGAATTAAATAAGGGTTGTTCGAACAGTATTATTGTGACTATGCACATTAAAACTTTTTTCAGTCCATTTTTGCAGAAGAAAACATGAAAATAAACACAATAATTGCACCAGAAGTTTCCATAAAAGTGTAGAAAATGTCGGTAAACTAAATTTGACCTTCTATCCTTCACTGGACTTCATCATGTTGTTGAAAAATGTAAATCTCACTTTGAATTTTAAGCAAAGATGGATTCATCATTTCCAGTATATATGAATAGCTTTTTATCATCACCCATATTTCTTGCTTTAAATATATGTATATTTATTTTATTTTTGAAGAATATAATTATGCCTCCAAAATGTCGTCTACCCTTTAAGCAAAAACAAAAGAAAATGGATTAAGCGCATGCAGTTTCTCGTTTACTTTATAAAAGTTTGACTTGTTCATCGTAGACGTGTCAAGTTAGCAAATCTTCATTCTTTATACCATTATTATACCTGCAAATCACTTTCTTTTTATATTTGAACTGTTGAAGAAAATGTAGTATCATTTTATTTACAACAAAATAAGCCGTTTCGTCCGAAAGAACTAGTACTATATTTTTGTAATCCATTGTAATTTCACTTTTACTATAGGATTTTAAAAAATTGGCCAGTTGGCAAAGTAGTATTAGATCTGAAGCGTAGGTAGGATTTAGGAGTTGTGATTTGGAAGGTTGTCTTACGGAAAAGCATAGGCTTTGGCAGCTGTCCGAGCCTTCCCTTGATTGTGCCTTTAGGCTTTTCTTCTTGCTGCTTTGTTTGCGCTTTCGAATCCGCTTCTGTAAAGAAAGGAGAAGAGAGAGGCGTCGGCTAACTAAGGATTGGGAATCATGAATTATCACGGCTTGACGGTCAGTACAGAATCTTGCTCTATATCTCCCGAAAAACCATTGTAGCTAAAAATTCATGTTGGGTCGGATTCGAACGAATCTTTCGATAATCTGTAAGAAACTCTTTATCTATTTTTAAAAAATTAGAAGACAAGAACAAAAGACAAAGAAATGAAGAAAAATAGGCCTAATATAAGGGTAAGCCAATAGCGAATAACCTTTTCTTCCCTGCCTCCTCGACCTTCATTCCCATCCTGCAGCCAAAGTGATAGCGGCTGTAGCATCTCGTTTGTGTGTTTGCAACATCCGAAAGGAAAGTCGTCTCTCTTCCATTCGGAGCAAGCATCGTAATCGTACCGCTATAAGACCTTTGTATTCGTTCGCCAAATCTTGTTCAGTTCCATTCAAGCTCGGTTTTGTCTGAATCTTCGTGGAAGAAGAAAAAGCGGTTCACCAGCCACTACATCTGTAGATCCCACCAAATCATTAAACCTGGCGGCTGCTTGTCTCGCTTGAAAGCTATAACCAGCCCCCGAACTCGATATCCATTCTGCTTGATGTTTTACTCCTCCGAAAGGGCTACTTTGGTTGCGCGGCTTTCTCTTATAGGGTGACTTGACGAAAACAGGGTTAAGAAGCACAATAATTGGCTCTGGCCTTGGGATTTGCTTTGGCTGTCATTCTCAGAGTTTGGTGGATAATTTCTTAATTATAGAATGAGCATAAGTTGACTTTGACTTAAATATTATACTAATTGCCGAAAGTTTTAGGTTAAAATAGTATGGGCTAGCTAGTTTTCGGACTGGTCATTTAGAAATAGTCAGCGTTTGCAAAGTCATTAAAAATAGCCACTATTTTGCTACAACAGGGAGCGGTCCAGCATAATATACCGGAGATCGCTGTGCCTATTTTTGAGTGA